AGAAGAGGAATCAACAAGCATTCCTCATAATCGGACAGCAGAGAACAGAATAAGGAGGGAGATCATGCCCACAATATGACCACCAATCGCCAATCAAATGCAGATGGGGCAGAACTATCGCCACCAAAGCTGACCAAATAACTAAGATACCGTGGAGGAAATTCACAAAGTCGACATTTCCGGCCAAAATTAGAAGCCTCCCATGACTAATTACCTTATGCTGGTGTTATGTGCCTGATTGAAACGAGATCCAACATGGCATCCACACGTTCCCATACACATGTGCAATGACAAGTGACCTTTGGAGGGAGCAATCCATACCACACCGGATGATAAGAATACACAGCGGAAGCACACAAATACCGAAAACAGAATTGAAATGAAAATCAATTCCAATTACCGTCTCTCCCCAAGTCAATCAACAAACAGCACGAATTTGGAGATGATGCCCTGCATACATGCCCACAACACAGCAGCCAGCAGCATGTGGAGAAGATGTGCTGCATACAGATGCCCGCAATAGCGCAGCAGGGAAGCAACACGACCTCCACAAAGACCGTGAAAACAAAAGCAACAAAAAGAACCAAAAGAACCCCAAACTTGTCGGCCTCTGCCTACTTCTACCCCACTTCCCTAGACCTACAACACAGCAGCCACCAACAGACCTATCTGACCGTCCAAGCAGCAAACGTCTACTGCCAAACAGTCAAGATCCACCTACATGCATCTAGACGGAAACCTGGACTAAGGGGACCTGAGGCCAGGACACAAAATAGACAGACCTACGGGCCTACCAGCTTCCAAAAGGGCAGAAAAGGACAAAACAACAAGGCAGAAAGGCCTAAGACTACGAAGTAGAGACTACTAGCGACAGGTTCAAGTTTCAAGCCCAATTAGGCTCAAAAACAGTCTAACACCACAAACACACTACAGGTCATGGGATAAAGTCCCCGGTTGACTTCAGCAACTGCAGAAAACCAACAAAACAGCAAAGCCTAAGGGTCTAAAGGCTGCCAAATAGAGATGAATAGGTACAGGTCTAAGAGTCTGATTCCACCACTACACTACAAATGTAGACGCAAAAAAGCACTACGAAGATGTCAGCGGCCGTGACGGGACAGAAAAGAGAAACTGGATCCCACGAGGGCGACTTCTTCAGTGGTTTTCATGGACTCGCGGCGGTTCTTTATGGCCTGTTACAGACTCCTCCAAACGAAATGTCACACAACACTGTGGTCCATGGACATTCCTGATGCTCCAAACGGACGAACGAGAGAAAAAATAAAAATAAAAAATTGCTCCCTCTTTTTCGCTGCCGTGAAGCCCTCACGGTCTACAGAAAAGTTGTAGTAACTACGTTTGCGCCTTTCGCGGACGTGCTGCCACGACACACCCAAACGGAAGTAAGGCAAAATATTTCGGAGGCCGCGACGACGTCGGAAAGTGGTGGGATCTCAAAACTACACTGCAACTGGGCTGTAGTGTAGTGGTGGGATCAGACCCTAAGGATCAAGCACAGTAGCGCTCGAAGCTAACAAACCAAACGTACAAATAACAGGTCGCGGGATCAAGTCCGGCGAGGCCCAAACCAAGGAAACAGCAAACACAGTCAGTGTACAGTGACTACAGTCCCACTGGGATACTGCGATTTATTGCACTAGACTACCCGACAACCATCGGCTGCACATCAGAAGAAGGAAAAATAAACCGAGCAGCTCAGTTATCCACAAGGTACGTTCAGATCAGGAACCTGAGGACTTAGTATAATGCTTACCGTCTTCACCCGGATACAACGTACAGTCATTATAGCTGCTGCATTTAGACTGAAAAGTACCCCAAATACAGCAGTAATGACTGTATGGTGTATTCGGGGGAAGAAGGTAGTCAAATGCACGGTGTCGACAGACTACTGAGCTAGCGCATCAGATCTATGGGACCATCTCTTCGCCTCTACATTCCCATAACACCGAATCCGGCTTCTTCTATGGACTAGCATCCCGCCACACTTTCGTAGATCGCAAACGACCTGGTTCGGATTGATCTGCAAAGCAACACTAGAAAGTCTTTTGGGCCATGCGCAGTCCGGAAGGAAAGACGTAGCAGGATCAATCTAAAAGGACCTTATCTTTTGGGCTATGCACAGCCTGGGAGGAAAGATGCAGCAGGATCAATCTCAAAGGACCTTATCTTTTAGGCTATGCACAGCCTGGGAGGAAAGATGCAGCAGGATCAACCTAAAAGGACCTTATCTTTTGGGCTATGCACAGCTGGGAGGAAAGATGCAGCAGGACACAAGACAACACCAAGAATCCACAAGACAAGGTCTGGGACGCCGCTAAAAAACTCGATCGAAGCGGAAAACTCTTCGCCAGTGGAGAAAAGTCAAAGCATTAATCCAGAACCAATCCGGACAAGGAGCAAGAACAGCGGGCCCGATTCACATGAGGATGGCTTACAAGAGGCAAGGTGGCGGAAGTACGTGGATTCACTGTTTGATGGAAAGGTCGGCATAATTTCGACCGATCTTCGGGGAGACAGAACGCCCAAGCAAGGGATCCACGGGAACCCATTTGGACTTGAAATTGCAGGAGGACCCATTAACAACAGGCGTGAACTGAAACACGCGACTAACACTCAACCAAGGATCTCAACACAACATATGAGGACAGGAGGTTCGCAGGAAGGAGGCCACAGGTCTCTCCGTGGATTCTGGTTCTTCAATGTTTAGCAAGCAGACTCGCAGAACGAGCCTGAGAGGAATCGTAGGAGAAAGGCAAGCTGGCAGTCGATCCTCCACGCAATGGGAGCAATCAATGCTGTGCACGGATCCTTTGCCCAATGGAAGGATGTGTGCGCGTGTTAATCTGTTGTAATTCTACGACTTGCTGGTGGACAAAGTACCAGACTATACATATCTATATATTGTCACAGAACTATTCACGAAGACCACAAGCACGTGAAGTAGAAGGAGAAATAAGATGAGCAAAGAAAGGAAAATGAAAGGATAGACAGGCAAAGAGACAGACAAACCAGAATGACACAGAACAATGTCCTCTTATTCTTCGTTTCACTGTATCCTGAAGAAAGGATAAAAATAAAAAACAAAAGCACATTGAAATCATTCAGTTTCTCAGTCTTCTTAACGCCTCCTCCACGGTGCCTCTAACGTACAAGGCTCGCCACGTTGATGAAGTTGAGCGCGAGCTGCCCCCATCCCCGTATGCCATAACAGCCCACTTGCACGCTATGGGAAAGAGGCAGAGTGAAGGAAGAGGTGTTAAACACAAGGAAGAGAGGAGCAGACAGGGTAAACACCAGGCAGAGGGAGAAAAAACAAAAATAAAAATAAAAAACGTTGACACAAACATCTTCTTTCTTTTACTGCATTCTTCTTTCTTGCAGTTTTGGTGAAGAGTCTACAACGTTCGGTTTTCAGCGCACCTGCACTTCCTTCTTCATTTTACAATCTCATTTTCACCCTTCGGACTTTTCTTTTTAGGGTGTTTGGGTGCAGGGTACAAACAAAGTAAAATGACACAGACTTAATATATATATAAAGGAACCGGACTAAAGATCCCCAGAATGGAAAAGGAGTAAGGGCCATAAGGTCCTGTTTTCTGTTCACAAAAACATAAAAAGACTGAATTTTCCGCGCTCATCCTTTTTCAGTATGCAGATCTGTGCCCAATGCTATGTTCCTGTAGGCATAGGTTTGGTGCTCCAGGGTTGAGAAAATACGATAGGTTCAGGGCCGGTGGTGGTTTTAAATTTTAAATCATTTTTAGCTAGGCTACCAGAGTGGCCCGGGACCACTTCCCCGGCCGGGCCCAAACAAACAAACAAACAAAAAAATGGTAACGAATTTCGATGTGACCCTGAGGAGAAAGTTGTTCAGTTTATGTTTCTGCATAACATAGTTTGTTTTCGGTTTTTTCTTGTTCTTTTTTTTTTTTTTGCTAGGACCTTCCCTGGTTCTTGCTCGCCCCATAGCCTAGATTTTTAGTATTTTTACTAGAAATAACTACATTCTGTAGAGTCTTCTTGGTTCACCCCGGTATGCATTCAGGGTGCCTCCTTGGCAGGATGTGCTGCCGCAAGCATTTCCAAAGTCTGCTCTGCCTTTTGACACCCCCTCTCCCCCCCCCTTTTTCCCGCCGGGATTTTGCACATTTTGCAGCATCTGGCGACGGTGAAGGGAGTGACCCGACAAAATGCAAGCGTCTCAGACTCCCTTGCTTTTTCAGATCGATGCAACGGAATCTGACTGACACTATTTCACTTCTGGGATTTCATGTTGGGTGAGTAGAGGGGTACCTTGCTGTTCGGCTGAACAGTATGCACATCAAATAACTTATTCAACAGCTGGCATGCCGAGGGTTTTTCTCCTCTGAAATAGGAAATGGGCGAACGGAGCTTACGTGTGACTGCAGAGCGTTGGGCGCGATCCTCAACCTCAATGGCTACTTGTACCAAGCCATCGTCCATTTGTGATATGCAGGGCGGCACGGGTGCATCCTGCACAAGAAACACCATTCTCAAGTAACAAAGAGACAAACACAAATGATGTTCAAAACAGTTAGTAGTGCAGTGTATACGAAAAACAAACAGAAACAGTGCAGCACACAGAAAGATGCGCACGCATACTTTCTTCACCCGAACAGAACGCCCTGTCATTATCCCCGTACTATGTGGTCTGCAAGTTGCACCAAATACAGCTGCTATATAATGACCAGGCGTTCTATATTCGGGTGAAGACAGTACTTGCAATCCATTCACATACAAAACTGCGCAGTCGCAAACCGACACTTCTGGCATGAATCTGGTCTGGCAATGTACACACAGGCATAACAGACTGTCGGATGTTTGTCAATCTTGTGAGATCACAATTTCCAGTCCATATGTCCTTCAGGACATCCTTAAAATTGGAA